GGTCAGTGATGGCGAACCTATGGCACGCGTGCCACAGGTGGCACGCCGAGCCCCCTCTGTGGGCATGCGGCCATAGGTCGCCGGAGGGATGGAGGGTGTGCTCCGCCGGCGCATCCATAAGGCGGCACAAATGGCCGCCTTAGGGTGCACCGGCCTGGCGGGCGCAAAGCCGGAGTGACCGGCAGGAGGTGAGCACATAGCGTTCCCTCCTGCCAGGCACTCTGTGTAGCGTGGCCGAGCGCACCGCGGTACAGGAACTTATGTTTCCTGTACCCGGGTGGACGGAAATGAAGTGCTCACAGAGAGAGCACTTCCTGTCCGCCGGGTACAGGAAACATAAGTTCCTGTACCGCGGTGCGCTCGGCCACGCTACAAGGTAGGAGCTCAAGGAGGGGGGACCTGAGTAGGAGAAAGATGGGGGGAACTGAGGGAGAGCTACAAGGGGGGGGAACTGAGGGAGGGCGGGAGGGGGGAACTGAGGGAGAGCTATGGGGGGAACCGAGGAGAGCTATGGGAGGGGGACTGAGGGAGAGCTGAGGGGAACTGAGGAGAGCCTGGAGGGGGGGACTGAGGGAGAGCCATGGGAGGGGGGAACTGAGGGAGAGCCATGGTCGGGGACTGAGGGAGAGCCATGGGAGGGGGGGAACTGAGGAGAGCTATGGGAGGGGGGGAGCTGAGGGAGAGCTGGGGGAACTGAGGGAGAGCCATGGGGGGACTGAGGGAGAGCCATGGGAGGGGGTGGAACTGAGGGAGAGCCATGGAGGGGAAACCGAGTGGGAGAGAGATGGGGGAAACCTGAGGGAGAGAGATGGGGGAAACTGAGTGGGGAGAGTGGGAGATGGAGGGGCTAAACTGAGGGGAGAGAGATGGGGGCTAAACTGAGGGGAGAGAGATGGGGGGAAACTGAGGGAGAGATGGGGGAAACTGAGGGAGAGATATGGGGGGAGGGAGAGATGGTACGGAAACTGAGGGAGAGATGGGGGGGAAACTGAGGGGGAGAGTTATGGGGGGGAACTGAGGGAGGTATAGGGGGAGAAAACGGAGTGTGGGACGGGGGAGAGGGGGGGCGACATACACACAGCACCCCTGCCCTACACATATCACCCCACACAAAGACACCCACACATCACCCTACCCACACATCACCCCACCCACACACACACACACACACAAACACATACAATGTACCCCTCAATGCAGTGTGTGTACACTCAGCAGTCTGTGTGTGTGTGTACACTCAGCAGTCTGTGTGTGTGTGTGTACACTAAGCAGTCTGTGTGTGTGTGTGTACACTCAGCAGTCTGTGTGTGTGTGTACACTCAGCAGTCTGTGTGTGTGTACACTCAGCAGTCTGTGTGTGTGTATTTAGCTGTGTGTGTACTCGGCAGTCTGTGTGTGTGTGTATTTAGCAGTCTGTGTGTGTATTCAGCAGACTGTGTACTCAGCAGTCTGTGTGTGTATTCAGCAGTCTGCTAAATACAGACAAACTGCTAAGTACACAGACAGACTGCTAAATACACACACAGAGAGTTCGGACAACTGTATGAGTTGTTTTTTCGAAACTTAAACCTCAGTATTCAGGTTTAAATGCCGTTTTGGCACTTTGAGGGAAAAAAAATTGGCATGTATTACGGTTTGGGCACTCGGGCTCAAAAAGGTTCGCCATCACTGGTCTAGGTCATACATTGGGCATATTGTTTTACTCAGAAGACTTAGCTGAGCATAATTTGGGGGGTTTGAACTCAGTGGCACATATGAAATGTACAAAATGCCCAGCAAAAATGTAATCCGTATGTAAAAAATGCCCAAAATTATTTTTTACCACATACTTTGGCATACATTGGTGAAAAAATGGGGGCATGTTAAGGCACAATATGCAACTTATGAGATACCCTGGAGTGTCTACTTTTACAAATGGTAGGCCTTTGTGGGTTTTTTTTGAACAGTCAAACTGCTATAATACCCCAAATTGAAGCATAGGCCCATTAAATCCGCCTCTCAAAGTTCTACTGTAAATGTTGAAACGGACAGGTCTCCTATATGGCACTGTAGCTTCACAAAATAGTGCATACAATTGGGGTATCGTTGTACTCAGCAGAAGTAACTGAACACTAAATAAAACTTTGTACAGGAATAGCACACACCAACTTTACAAAATACACATGAGAAGTTCTTTGTTATAAGTTTGTGTGCCACAAACCCAAAAAGCCCCCAAATTTTACTCCAATATTTAGCAGAGATTGGCAGTGAAATGGATATGTAGAAAGTGTCACAACAACCTTAGGACAATAGCCTGTGATGTCTACTTTATATAAATATATACTTGTGTGTGGCAATTTTGTTTTCTTTTATGGCTATTAAGCTCACAAGACAAACATACCAAATTCTAAAATTGCTCCACATTAAAAGTTTATTTTACTCCTTGTGCTTTGTGACCTGTAACTACCAAAAAAAACTTAAAATCCCAGACACATTATATATTCTGTAAATCAGAACTAAATTAATTTATTTTTAATTACTTTCTTTAACCTGCAATAATTAGGCACACATTATTGCAAAAACTGTAGAAAAAAACCCAAAATATTTCTTTCTTTTTTTTGCGTTTTTCTGTATTTTTTTTTTTAAGAATAAATAAGCATGTATATATATGTATGTGTATATATATTACATCAAATTAAAAATTAAAATTAAAGCCCTTTCTGTCCTTTAAAAATCAGTATATAATATGTGTCGGTGCAATAAACGAGAGAGATGCAAATTGCAGTTGAACGCATACAGCAAGAAAATGCAAAAATTGCTTGTGTCATTAAGCGTAAGACAAGCTTCTGAAGCTGTGTCCTTAAGGGGTTAAGCAATAACCTCAGTGCATATTACGTTTACGCCATTTTGACCCAGACAAATTACAATAACAATAATGCATAAACAAGCTTCAAGGCTATACTACGACTCTTTCAGTACGTAATATACTGTGGTAACCTTAGTAGATAAGGATGTTCAGACTTTAAGATGCCATCTTGAACTAAGTCAGGAAAATTTCCATGACGTATGCACCCTTTAGTTATGGACTTGTATTTTTGCAAAGTTAAGGGAGGTCCTAAAACGAATCAAGTAAAAGAAGTGTTACTTTTTCATATTTGAACTACGGTAACCCTAAAATGGAGACACCTAAGGTATAAATAGGTGTACTTTTAAATGTTAAGATACAGAGGAGAGACTTGGAGACAGACGCTGCTCCATTTTAAAATGACAGAGAGGCTGACATGATGACATGTTCAGAAGGGTATGTTAACCTATTAATGATATTTGCAAGCATGTAATTTAATCTTATAAACTCTGCTGTAATGGATTTTATATGTCTATATATTTATATTTTTATATAATAAATATCTAAAAGACAAAACTATTGCTTCCAAGACAATACTTATTTTATATTGTATTCTCAATTATTTAGATATGTTAAATAGAGGATCTCTTACACTAACTAAATGAAATTATGGCTAAGATATCTGTATGGTTAGCCCTGCTAAGTTCTATGCTTTAAGACGTTATAATGGTAAATAAGGGAATCAGCCACGGTTACAATTGGCGACCACGAAGGGACGTGTACCTGGAAGCTTTAACTATAAAATAATAAATACCTAGGTAACCTCTTATACGTAAGAGAAGACACAATACTTTGTCATGGCACAAGTCTTGAAATATCAAGAATCTATTGAGCTATTTGTAGCCCAGACTCAGAGAGAGATCTTCATCATGGAGAGATGATTTTAATGTGAACTTGTACAAGGCACTTTAAGTTCAGGTGCCAGGTACATTGTAATTAGCATACAATGCTGAAATTGTGGATCTTAATATCATAAAAGAATAAATATACATATTTGGTAAACTCCCAGCATAGCATGGTCCAGTTCCAGGACAGTGGATTGCAGACAGGGGGATATGTTCTCTTTGTAGCTGCTTAGTATGCATGCGCAGGAAAAAGATTAATGCAAGATGTTGTGAAAAGAAAAGTAATACAGAAGTGACAGACAGTCCACTATATAAGAAAAGTTTTCTAAAACAGTGATAATTTCCATATTGTCAGTTATGCATTGCTGTTGATTGAAAATCTGGAATTATAACAGCATAACTATTTTTGGAGTCCGGAGTTTCCAGCCAAGGTTGCGGAGATACAGAGACATGTAAACATTCCAAGGAATTGAGAAGTTGTTGTTTTATATTCCAAATTATGAACAACATTATTACATACAGCCATAAAGAGAAAGACATGGCTTTTAAATAAATTCAGTGCAGTACAATGCAGTACACTGCAGCATATATTTTATAGAATATATGCTAACTAGCTCATATTTTTTCCTAAACAGAGTTGAAATTATACTACCCTCCTAGAAAAAACGCAACAGGTGGTTATACATCCTTTGCTTCTCTAAATGCTCTGCAAAAATAAATATTTATAAAATGATTACAAATTATATATATGTGAAGGGGGCGGGGCCTGACCGCCAAACTGAACGGTCACATATACCAACAGCTCCTGCAAACCTCCAAACTTTAAGCTTACAAAAGCAGATTTTATGCCTAATTAACAACCTGCAACCGTGGTCTGAAGCACAAGGGAGCACTGGCTCAGAGGAGAGGCTTGCAAACCCTTTGTTTTAGTCCCTCGAGACGATACCAGCCATCCCTACAGGATGAGGCCTACTCGGGCGGTGAGTGGGGTGGACGGCCGTTGCCCCGCTATCCTGCCCGACGGTGTGGTGCTGGACTCCCATGGATGTGCAACCAGGGCCCCTACCCCCTCCTCCCCCCGGGCCGGTGGGGGTGATCCCGGGCCGCACCCGGCAACCCTTACCGCACCAGAGACCCCGCTACTCAAACCACGAGGCCCCACTAAAATGGCGGCAAACACAAACTCACCAAAGCATAAGGGGAATAACGCCATCTTTTCTCCCTTGCTCGCTGAGACCCTTACACGCGCAAGGCGGACACGACATGCCTGCATGAGGCAGCCTGACAGGTGGGATCCCTACGACACACTACTCCAACGCTTGCCGGATCAAAGTGGCTACGATGCCCGAGCTCACACGAGGAGAGACACGCAGAGGGACAGTCGATCGACAGGCACGGCATGTAACCTGCCCACCCTGAACACCACAGAGAGACTCATACACAGGCTCATCCAAGCGCCTGGATCACAGCACATGACACCGCTCCCTACCCAGGATCAAGACCACAGCGCCTCCGAGACTGAGCTACATCTCCTGCAGACAGCCACGCTCAACCCATGGACGGCCACTATTCCTACCCAAGCCACGGCATAGGCTGACGCTGAACTCTCTGACCAAGCCACCCTTCTTCCGACAATTACATGCCTGATTATAGGACTCACAGTATACACGGTTTTATTTCATTTAATTCTTCAAGACTTTTTTTTTTTAATGCTTTTCATGGGACGCCATGTATAATACAGCTATGCAGATGACACTACAGACCTTGCTTATCCTGTTGGACTCCTGCTATAACTCTGCTCTCATGTACCTAAGCTTAAGTCTTTTAATGTGTCCCATACACACCTCTACCTACGATCAATATTAGACTAATATCTTGCACACTGCGCAGCGTACCAACCAGTACACTACACTACACTATACTAGCAAGCACTAGGGCGCATCTATTCGCTTCAGACACCCAGGCATGTAACCCCCCCTTTTCTTAATTTTAATTTCTCTTTTTTTTTTTTACATTTATTTATTAGCGCACTAAGCTCCTCGCAGTCCTCTCCTAGGTCCGAACATGCAACGGGTTGCCCAATAAGGGCTACTCACTTACTCATGGCCGCATGTTGCCTTTCCTACATACAGGGCAGCACCACCCTAAGCCAGATTTTACTTTAACTGAGTTAAACCGACGCTGCTCACTTCAGCCTATCGTTCTCACACAAAATTTGCAAACGCTCACACTAATTTCTAGTCTGCGCATTATAGAACAGTCTGAAATCTTACGCTTCTCATGATAATATACCATAAAATTGTGCTAGTCAATCGGATGCCATATCTATCTAATGTTCAAAATAAGCCTGCAGTAGCTGTTGTGGCACTGCAAGACCAAATGTTTGTTTTTCATATGCACAAGAAAAATAAAGAATTTATAAAAATAAAAAAAAAATTATATATATATGTAAGATAAATCAGGGCAAAATAAAATTGTAACTAGACAGGATCTCTGATAACTTTTAAACTGAAATTATTAAAGGCTTATTTAAATAAAATGTTAAATACATTTACAGCTTTAAATGTGACCAAAAGATACTAAATTATGTGTTAAGCAGCCAGCCCAATTCACTAGAATAGCATAAGTATTCTACTATTTAAAGTGCACAATTCCTGCACATAATGACTTTGCTTCCTCAGGTACAGTCTTTAGTCTATTGCAATGGCAAGATTAAAGTCCACCAATTTTAAAAGGGAAAGCTTACTTAAATCAGTGGTACTATCCCACTGTACCTGTAGTGCTAGCAGTACAGGTTTTCAGCATGCTTTACCATCATCGTTGAGTCCAT